TCTGGTAGCTTGAAATAATTGCACCATTTAAACTTGGTGCAACAATGTCTTCAGTGGCATTCCCAACTTCCCTCCAAGATTTTCCTTTAAGGATTATTATCTAACAGGAAAAACAACTGAGAGGATAGCATAGATGGCTGTGGTGGTGGCAGCAAAGTCAAGGGGTGAGGATTTCAGCAGAAAATTTGGGTAGTTGTACTATTTGAAAGAGGCACTTTATAATGATATAGACAATATAATGTTAGAGGGTCAGCTTGAAGTTAAACAGTTTTACTATAAAACTGGTGACAATTTGTACTCTGTAAAGAGACTCAATGCTTCTAACTGAGAAAATTTTCAGAGGAAAGTAATGAGAAAACTGAATCCATAAACAGAATATCTGGAACTTATGAAATTGAACCTTTACTAGCTGCACAGAAGAACCTGCCATACTGAAAACTCTTGCTTATCTTATACATCCCTAAATTCATTGGCTTTCATTCAAAAATTCTCCTAAGCATACCGTCTTGGAAAACTATAGCTAATATCATGCATCTTTTCAAATAGAAAGCACAGTGCTGAGCAGTACCCAATATATAAGCCTAAGTATTAAACAGGCAGAATAAGAGGTGATGCCAAACAGTGTAAAAGTATCTTGCCAAAAGCAATTATAATGTCATTTCTGCTAAGTGCCCCACTTATTTCCCACTATCTGGCAACTGTAATTATTTCCTCGGTCATAAAGACAATTATGAGTTCAAGCAAACAACCTAGGCCAGGTGCAGTACCATCCCTCTACAAGTATTAAATTGGAAAGGGTGCAGCAAAGATTTACAAGGATGTTACTGGGACAGGAGGGTTTGACTTACAAGGAATGGCTGGGATTTTTTTCCGCTGGAGCATAAGAGGTTGAGGGGTGACCTCAGAGGTTTAGAAAATCATGAGAGGCATTGATAAGGTGAATAGCAAAGGTCTTTTCCCTATGGTAGGGGAGTTCAAAACTCGAGGGTATAGTTTTACAGTGAAAGGAGAACGTATATGGAATGAACTGCCAGAGGAAGTGGTAGAGGCAAGTACAATTACAACATTTAAAAGACTTTTGGACAGGTACACAAATAGGAAAGATTTAGAGGGATTTGGGCCAAATGCTGGCAAATGGGACGAGGTTAGTTTGGGAAACCTGGTCAGCATGGACAAGTTGGACTGAAGGGTCTGTTTCCATGCGATAGGAGTATGACTGCACAAGTGCAACTATCACTCCTAAGTCTATAATTTACATTGAGATAACTATTAGCTATTATACATCTATTATTTAAATTTTTCTCTCTATATATTCCCATGCACATAAAACAAATGAGGCTATGAACAGTACTTGCCAATCTGCCAAAATGGACTAATTTCTTCACCCAATCACTCTGGATGCTGAACCAACTGGTTCAGTAATTAAAAGATTTGTTTTCTGGCTTTTGAAAACATTTGCCTTCAGTTCTCCCCAATACCATGCTCCATATTCCTCCAACTACAAGAGTTCAGTTTAGAGGCCCATACTTAGCTCCGTGGTGCCTTGCCTTCTTGAATTTCTACCCTGCTTTAAAACTATTAGGCTTTCATTCAAACAATGAATTTAGGGATATAAAAAATAAGTAACGAATCAAAGAATCACTCTGCTGGTCCACTTGCTAAACAGAAGCTGAATCCAATTTCCTCACTTGCTTTGAAATGAATTAAGGGATCAATTGAGGTAACAACAAATAAGTTCCATCTGCAACACCACTCTCCACTCCACCTCACTCCTTCCATTAAAGTCATGGTTTAAAATAACTTTGCAGTCAGGATCATTGAGCACTGAAAAATACAATAATATTTTGTTACAATGACCAACACTGCAAGCGATCTATAATTTATGCCTGAAAGGAGTTAACAATCGTACTTTTCCTTCATAGCTTTATTCTCATTACCTCAAATGTGATGTAATTTTGATCTTGGTATCTTCCATTCCTTTATTTTGGTCTATAGAAATAATAGGAGTGACAATAACAAAGTAAATGGAAAATATGCCATTTTCTGGTGTGTGCTATGACCATTCCCATCAAAATGGCAGAAAAGTTAATAACTGGAGGTTACAGGGTATCACCTGATTGCCTAAAGAACCAGGTAATATAAGGATTTTTTGTAAAAGGTTATTGAGATCAGAAGCGCATTGCAGAGGAGAGATTCAGAGACAGCTAGCATAATCCTGATTGCAGGTTCCTATTTAGTAATAGCAATTTTTTTTGGAGGGTGGAGAAGTGTTGGGCAGTTGCGTGACTCAGTTGGTAGCATGCTTGCTCAACAAAAGTCATTGATTGAAGCCCTCCTTTCAGATCCTTATCCAAAAAACTCCAGACTGACCTTTCAGTGCTGTCTTGAGTGCGCTGCACTGGCAAAGGTTTTGGATGAAACAGTCCAAGGCAAAAAAACAAAGGATACACAATACATTTCAAAAAAGAACAGCAAAGTTCTCCTCAGCACTCTGACCAATATTTAGCAATATCAATCAGCAGCACTGAAGCAGATTATCTGGTTATCATCACACTGCTTTTGTGCCATCTGGCTGAGCAAAACTGTCAGTCACATTTCCTACATTACACCAGTAATATCACATTGTTTTTAATAAGCTACAAAGCACTTTGGAATGGCTTCAGACTGTGAAAGGCCTTACAATAAAGCAAATATATTTGTCATGGCCTCCACAAACAGAGATAAAAGCTTATTAACCTATTCTTTCAGCTTCTTTCTGCACAGATACTGCCAGATTGCCAGTTCCAATATTTTCTTTTCGTTGTTCCTTTAGCACAAAGGAATAAATAAGTTTGCTTGAATAAACGAGTCTTCATTTAGTAAGATGTGGAGCAAGAGTGACTTCAGTATACTGACTTAGTAATTAAGCAACGAAGGCTTTAGTATCCAGATCAAAATTTCATAGAACATAAATTCCATGTTGATTTAGGATTCAATGTATTTGAATATGCCATAATAATTTAATTTTTATAAGAAAAAAATTCAGTATGTGGTCCAACACCAAAAGGAAATACATGAAGTTGAAATTATTGCTTGCCCAAAAGTATGGAGAATATTTGACTAGAACAATGTAATATTGGATAGAATAACAAAAAAAATTGCCTCAGCTGCAAATACTAGTCTTTCCAGTAAATAAAATCCTCTGGAAAGGCAGTTGCAGAAAAATGTAAAACAGCAACACAAATTGTCATGAATGGCGAATGAACAATCTCGCTTAGACAGTGAAGTTCAGTCAGATTCAAATAGGCTTTACAGGTTTCATGTTCTACCTTAAAAATTCCTAGTTCCAATTTTTGGAATATTGTTTTTTTTTAATTTTGCGACTCCCACCGCTGCCCCCCCCATTAGAATTGCATCCTTTATTCTAAACTGAACTCCAAGTTATTATCAGATAATAGCAAATAAATCTCAAGATGGAAAATTACTCTGTGGCATCAGAATCACAGATGAGGTTGTGGATTTGTAAGTATTATGCTGCCAACACATTGTACAGACTTCTCATAGAACTCAAAAGCCTTTCTTGTAAACAAAGACAACGGTCTGGGACTCTGCAAGAGCACAATTCACAGGAAGTTTGATATTTTCTGTTATATGATAGGATCATTAGATCAATTTACAGAAAGCAATTCTTATGCCCTCATTCCTTTAACATCAAAGTCTAACTGCTGTTAAGTAAAGAGATAACAAGGTGTAGAGCTGGATGAACACAGCAGGCCAAGCAGCATCAGAGGAGCAGGAAGGCTGACGTTTCGGGCCTAGACCCTTCTTCAGAAAAAGTTCCGCAGTTTGTGATCCATCAGAATTTAACTGATATGCTACATTTGCAGCTAAGAAGGATATTGCTGGGGTTATTTTCTGTAGAAGAGAGGAGGATGAGGGGAGATTTAATTGAGTATGGAGTAGCTTGGATAGGTCAATGCCCAGAAGACATAAATTTACAATAATTGACAGAAAGAATAAAGGGACATGGAGAAGTTATTTTCAATCCTTATAAAGGTGGGGGAAGTCTTTAAGTCACTGTTTGAAAGGACAGAAGAGGCAGAAGCACTCTTCACGGTTGAAGTTTGACATGGATTTGTGCCCATGTAACCCAGAGGGGTAGATATTGATGGCTGGGAGGCGTTATTCTACAGGGAGAAACGACAGCCAATTTAAGCACATCAGTACCCACAAAAAAAACCCGGAGGATAAAGCGATTAGATAACCTATTTTAGTCACACTGGTTACAATGCATACTGATAATCAGGGGTTCACTTTTTACTAGTACCTGACCAGAAAATGAATAATTATTATTGATAATTGACAGTGTTGTTCCTGATCATTGCTCATCATTACTGGTCAACTAACTGTAGAACATATTCGTTTTCTTTTTAGATAAAGGTTTGAAAATGAAACAATCAATAAACGCATCATTTTGTTTGCTCACCCACCAAACTTGAGCAAGAATACTGCGCTTAGGGAAATGTACGCTCGGAGTTTGAGAATGAAAACCCAAAGTTTAAGGTCAGCACATTTCGAAAGCAATCTGGCACTTCAAAGTAAACCCTCGTTTTCAGTAAATTCAGTAAATTTTCTTGCTTCACTTATTACAAGCAAACCCCCGAAAATCGCGAAAAAGTGAACGGTCCCTCCGTTAACATTTAAAAGCAAGATTATCCTAAATGCGAGTTCGCTAATTTTGGATTCGTAAAAGCAATGGAGAATAAGTGTTTCCAAAGAGTTAACATATCTCAAAAACAGTCTACCAAGGCAAAAACTGATAGATTACATTGATTTGCCCCATTTTAATCCCGGTGACAGACCCTAATCTTTGCGTGTGGCCTGACAAGCCTGGCTCATGAGGCAGCCCGAGAGCCTGAAAAGTGTAAAAGTCCCCGCCCCCTTAAAAATATATATATCACCCCCGTGCCAACAATAAAAAAAAGTGCCTAGTGGATTCGAAGGAGCAGAGTAATACTCACATAGGGTCCAAGGCCCTTGACAACCAAGATCTGAAAGCGTCCAGATTCTCTATGATCATCTTCCTAAGGTGAACGGCCCGGTCACTGCTGCACCGTCAGAATGTCAGGGCCCTCATTGGAAGTCCACCAGCGAACATGACAACAAACCGGAGCAGAACCCAGGCCGCACCGCACCGTGCGACCAAACACCGACCTGTGTGTGATCGACAGAATTGTCTTCCAATCAGCGACCAGTCCCCGCCGCGCGGGCCAATCAGAAGGGTGTGGAGTGCGGGTCAAGGAGGCGGTAGCGAGTTAGGTTGTACCCAACGGCCTCATGGAGGGGAGGGGGAGAGAAGAGAGAAGCAATCGATCGATCTCAATTTCGGTTTCCTTTCCCCGCTCTCGCAGAGAGGAATAGGAACAAGAAAGAAGTTGAAACGCGAGTTTTGGGAGAATATATGCTCCTTTAAAGACAAACGGCACATTTACTTGAAGACGAAAGAAGGAGGGGGGAAGAATGAGGAGAAATAAAAAAAAATGCCGCACTGCTCAATCAAACCTGAAAACGTCGTGCGGGCGCGTACTGTTTGATAGGCAGCAGGACCGTCCAATCAGAATGGGGCGATCTGACGGCGCAGCCTGATCATTGGACGGCCGGACTGTAGAAGGCGGGACGGCCGAACGCCTCGCGCGTCCAACAGAACAAATGGACGTTTCGTAGTGACGAGGAGGGAGAGAGAGAAAAAAAACAGCGCCAGGCTGTGATCTTTTCTTTTTATCGTGATGATTAACGTATTTGGTGAGACGGACAAAAAAAATGACTGAATTACTGAACAAAACGCACGAGGCACGTCACTGCGTGATCGGACGTCGGGCAGGCCCCCCCTCCCGACGTATCGCCGTGAAAATCTATTATCGCGAGAGCAGCCCACCCCACTTACGTGTTTTTTGCGGCAAAGCTGTCTCCTAGCAACCAGAGGTGTCTGCAATTGCGCAGCAGCGACCAGTCATCAAAAGGAAATGGTACATAAATGCAGGATATAAAGAAAAGATGCTGCCGGCCCATACTTTTCCATAGCCTGCATTTCTGTTTGTAAATATCTTTCCTGAGATGTGGGCATCGATGGCGACGGTGGAATTTATCACTCATCCCAACTCGCGCTGCGTGATGGGCTACCTTCTTGAACAGCCAGTCGGTGGCAGGCTTGTTACACCGTTTTGATCGTCTACGCGCGAATTGGAGTCAGATTTCCAGGCATGCAAGATAACAGCTAATTTTCCTGACATTTGGGTTATAATGGTTCCGCAGTTAGAACCTTAGGGACTGGAGTCGGCCATTCAGTCCCCAGAGCCTGTTTCACCATACAATTAGATCATGGCTGATCTGTGTCCTCGCACGATCAGCTGCCTTTGTCCCATATCCCATAATAGTTTTTCTTAACAAAAGTTTAGAACAAATTAAGAACTGCCATGGCATCAACTGCCATTTATGAAAGAGTTGCAAACCTCTACTAGCCTTTGTGTGTGGGAGTGCTTCCGAACGTGCCCCTGAATGGCCTGGCCCTAATTTTTATACTGTGACCCCAAGTACAAGAATCTCCAACCAGCGAAAATGATTTATCTCTTTCTATTCTGCCATTTCCATCAGATCACTCCTCAACCTTCTAAATTTGAGAGAAAACAGGCCTAATTTGTATAATCTCTCCTATCTGATTTGACTTATTGTGACATGTACCAAAGTACAGTGAAAAGCTCTGTTTATGAGCAGTCCAGGCAGATAATAGTAAGCAAGGACATATAGATCATAGGGTGAAAAAAAACTTAGAGGCATACAAGTTACGTCATATGGGCCGTGTGCTAGGCAAGATCAGCATTATTTCAAGTTAGAGAGTACTTTCATCTGTCTAATAATGGCCAGGAAGAAGCTGTTCCTGAACCTGCCGGTGCGTGTTTTCAAGCTTCTGTATCTTCTGCCTGACAGAAGTGGTTGTAGGAGAACATTACAGGGGTGCAATGGATCTTTGATGATGTTGGCACCCTTTCCCCGGCTCCAAGCCATATAAATGGGGTCCATGGATGGAAGGAGACAGTAAGGACTGCAGATGCTGGAAGCCACAGTCAATGGATGTAAAGCTGGAAAAGTACAGCAGGTTAGACAGCATCCGAGGAGCAGGAAAGTCAATGTTTCGGGTTGAAACCCTTCGGCCTGAAACATTGACTTTCCTGCTCCCTCAGATGCTGTCTGATCTGCTGTCCTTTTCCAGCTTCACATTCATGGATGGAAAGTTGGTTTCCGTGATGTTCTGTGCACGCAACCTTCTATAGTTTCTTTTGGTCCTGGGCAGAGCCCATGCCAGGCTGTTATGCCCCCAGACAGTATGCTTTCAGTGGTGCATCGGTAAAAGTTGGTGAGGGTCCAAATGGACGTGCCAAATTTCCTGAGCCACCTGAGGAAGAAGAGGCATTGTTGAGCCTTCTTGACCATCACATCTACGTTGGAAGTCCAGGACAGGTTGTTGGTTATCGTCACTTGTAGAAACTTGACACTCCCCACCCTCTCAACCTCAGCTCTGTTAATGTAGATGGGGTGTGTCCTCCTCCTTTCTTGCTGAAGCCAATTACCAGTTCTTTAGTTTTGCCGACGTTGAGAGAGAGGTCGTTCTCACTGAACCACATCACCAAGCCCTCTATCTCCTTTCTGTATTCTGACTTGTCGTTGTTAGATATCTGTCCTATCACGGTGATGCCATCAGCAAACTTGTAGATGGTGTTCATTCAGAATTTAGCAACATAGTCATGGGTGTACGGGGAGTATAGTAGGGGGCTGAGGATGCATCCTTGGGGGGGCTCCAATGTTGATGTTATCATGGAGGAGGTACAGTTGTCTATCTTCACTGATTGCAGTATGTGGGTCAGAAAGCTGAGAATCCAGTTGCAGAGGGTGGAGCCGAGACCAAGGTTCTCAGAGTTTTGAGATCAGCTAACTTAACTGTTGAATGCCACGTATCATTCTTGGAAACCTACATTGTACTCCTTCTAAGGCAATATATCCTTCTTAAGGTGTGGTGCTCAGACCTACTCAGAGCACTCCAAGTAATCAAGGGAACCTAATCAGCAGAAATTATGATTTAGAAGGAGAAAAGAGAAATGATTGTTCACAGGGGCCTGTAGACAGATAGATATTGTGAGGAGCTCCCAAAGGAGTTATGCGGAGTATCCATCTTAAGCACTGGAGAAATACCACCAGCAATGCCTTGGCACAATCCCCAAATCTAATGACAAGAAACAAGTGACAAGAAAAGTGGTCCAAAAACAGCATCTTCTCCCAAGCTAACTTGTCCAGCTTTGAAGTATAAATCATTTAAAACTAGCTCCACTTAGCAAGAAGTTATATGTCTGCCTGACTCCAGATTTCCGAAGCATCTGCTATATTTATAACTCCATTCAATCAAGATCCTTGCAGCAGAACGAAACAAACACTTTAATGATGTCTTCAAAACATCTTTAAAGAGGTCCAGCAGCTTTATTGACACCTGTGATCAAACACATCAAGGAATTTCATTCGGAAACTGAAGAGGCAGAGTCAAGAAGTTGGAGGGAACAGACAAATCTCCAAACAACCCTTATTTCCACCTCTTACAGCCGTACCTGCCTCACAAATAACTCACAGGAAAAAAAAGAACAAAAGGAGAGACTAAAATTACATGATGTTACTTAGCAAATCTGCTTACCTTAGATTCAAGGAGACTTTTGTTGAAACAAGTTAAAGTAAAGCACAAATTTGATAAATGGATGAGGAACAAATAAATGAATAATCCATTTTATTCTCTATTTATTTATGGGATGAGGGCATCGCTGGCCAGGCAACATTTATTGTCCATCTCTAAATGCCCAGAGGGCAGTTAAGAGTCACCGACATTGCTGTGGGTCTGGAGTCACATGTAGGTTAGACCAGGTAAGGATGGCAGTTTCTGTTCCTAAAGGACATTAGTGAACCTGATGAGTTTTTCCAACAATTGACAATGGTTTTATCATCATCAGTAGACTCATAATTACAGATTTTTTTTAATTGAATTCAAATTCCACCATCAGCCATGGCAGGATTCAAACCCAGGTCCCCAGAACATTATCTGGGTTTCTGGATTAACAATCCAGCAATAATACCATTAGGCCATCACCTCTCCTTTGATATACAAAAATCATTTTCATGGCTGGAATGAACTTCCAGAGGAAGTGGTGGAGATGGGTACTGTTACAAAATTTAAAAGGCATTCACATAAGCACATGATTAAGAAATGTTTGGAGATATATGGGCCAAGCACAGGCAGGTGGCACTAGTTTAATTTGGGATTATGGTCAACTGGTTAGACCAAAGTGTCTGTTTCCATGCTCTGTGACTCTATGTGACAGAGTCTGCTGATTATGCATTGAGCTTGATAGTCATTTCAGATACCACAGAACCAGAGTGGAAGCAACTCATCTATTCTGAGGGACTGCCTGAGAAGAAATTTCTGGCAGTCAGAAAAGCCCAAATTTATTTGGGAATGAGGATCCATAAATGAAATGATTTGCATTTATGTAATACCACTCACAGACTTGGGCTGACCTGAAACATTTAACAATCATCAAAATACTTTTGCACTGTCGGCACCTTTGCAATATTGAAAATGTGGCTAGTAAATTGCACACAGCAAGACTCCACAAACGGAGATAGCAAGAAATGCAGATGCTGGAGTCAGAGTCAACACTGTGTGGAGCTGGAGGAGCACAGCAGGTCAGGCAGCGTCAGAAGAGCAGGAAAGCCCACGTTTAGGGCCCAGACCCTTCTTCAGAATGGGAGGGGGAAGGGAGCTGGAAAATAAATAGAGGCAGGAGGGGTAGGGCTGAGGGAAGGTAGGTGGTGGGATGGTGATAGGTGGATACAGGTAGGGAGTGGTGGGGATTGGTCAGTGGGAAGGGAGGAGCAGACAGGTGGGAGAGAAAATGGTCAGGTTGTGTCAGGCCAAGCAGGCGAGAGGGAAGATGGGTGGAGCTGAGGAAAGGTATGTGTGGTAGTGATAGGGGGTGCAGGTAAGGGGTAGTGGGGATTGGTGGTGTCAATTATCGCGTACTGAGGACAGATGCTCCACTAAACAGTTCCCAAGTCTGCGCTTGGTCTCACTGATGTAGAGGAGGCCACATCAGGAACAGCAGATATAGTAGACCAGGTTGGAGGATGTACAGGTGAACACCTGTTGGATATGGAAAGTTTGCTTTGGGCCTTAGATGGAGTTGAGGGGGGAGTTGTAGGGGCACGTGTAGCATTTCCTGCAGTTGCAAGGGAAGGTGCTGGTTGTGGTGGGGTTAGTGGAGAGCGTGGAGCGGACAAGGGTGTTGCACAGTGAACGGTCTCTATGAAAGGTAGATAGGGGTGGGGAGGGAAATATCTCTTTGGCCGTGGGGTCGGATTGTAGGTTGGGGTCCTTAAGATAGGAGGACATCTGGGATATCCGGGAGTGGAACGTTCCATCTTGGGAGCAGATGCAGTTGAGGGGGAGGAATTGGGCATATAGGATTGTATCCACCGTATCACCTCACATACCACCCCACCAATCTCCACATCCAGCGTATCAACTTCAGCCACCTACAATCTGACCCCACAACCAAAAAGATATTTCCCTCCCCACCCCATCTGCCTTTCATAGGGACCACTCACTCTGCAACTGCATCCACCTATCACCATCCCACCTACATTACCCCAGCCCCACCCTTCCTCCCTCTATTTATTTCCAGCTCCCTTCGCCTTCCCCTGTTCTAAAGAGGGGTCCTGACCCGAAACAGCAACTTTCAAGACTCCACAAACAACATGTTAATAATTGGATAATTTGTTGTGATGTCAACTAAGCCAAGACACCAGGGATAGGTCCCTTAGAAATATTGCTATGATCTATCTGCAAAGGGACACAGGACTTTGATTCAACATCTTACCTGAAAGACGACATCACTGGCAGTGCAGCACTTCCTTCATATTCCACTGGAGAATCAACTTTCATTACTATATTTGAGCATAAAACCCAAAAATGAGACAAGCAGTCAGAAAAGTCCCAAGTTAAAAGTAGATCTGTAGATTTATGGTGACCTGACAAAGGCATTCCACACTGGCAGTAAAGAAAATCTCGATAAATTCTTCTCCAAGGTTCAGGGAAATTTGTTGTGACAGTTAAATTATTCCATCGTGACTAAAGTGAAGAAAAATCGGGACAATCCCAGCTCCTTTCTTATTGCAAATTGTGTTAAGTAAATATAGGTCCTGGTACAATGACTTTTCATAATTTTGTTTGTTGCTATGCATGTTTCTCATGGTTTTCAATAACCTCAAAATCAAAGTCGAGATGAGGCTTAGAACTGAGAAGATCCTTAGAAGATTATAATCTACAAAAAGACTGGAGGAGCTTGTTCATGAACTCTGGTCTGTTGATGGTTATTTCACAAATCAATAATTTCACAGTTGCCTTTCATGGTAACAGCTTTTTATTTCCAGGCTTTAAAAATTAAATTTAAATACTCAAACAGACATTTGTGAAATTTGAATTTTTGCTCTCTGAATTGTTCAAAGCCAGGCTTCTGAATTACCCATATAATATCATAGCTACTATGCGCATGCACATCGTAGATTTTTTTTTTCATAGAATCCCTACAGTGTGGAAACAGGCCCTTCGGCCCAACAAGTCCACACCAACCCCCAGAGTATCCCACCCAGACCCATTCCCCAAACCCACCTAATCTACACATCCCTGAACACTATGAGCAATTTAGCATGGCCAATCCACCTAGCCTGCACATCTTTGGACTGTGGGAGGAAACCAGAGCAGCCGGAGAAAACCCACGCAGACACGGGGAGAATGTGCAAACTCCACACAGACAGTTGCCTGAGGGGGAATCAAAGGTGGGTCCCTGGCGCTGTGTGGCAGCAGTGCTAAACACTGAGCACTGTGCCGCCCCACATCAGCCAAATGTCTCCAGTTTTTGCCTGTCTGCCCAATCCAAACATCTATTCCATCAGTTGATCATATTGTATGCGAAAAGTATTGACATCAATCTATTTGATTTGATTAATTATTGTGACATTACCTAGATACAGTGAAAGGTTTTGTTTTTTGTGTAGCACAGGCAAATCATACCATACAAAAGTGACAGGCGGAATAAACAGAATGAGGAGTACAAAGTTGCAGCAACGAAGAAGGTACACAAAAAGCAAGATTAATATTAGATTTACAATTTGAGAGGTCCATACAGAAATCTAACAACAGCAGGGAAGAAGCTGTTCTTGAACCTGTTACTCTGTGTGTTTAAGCTTTTGTATCTTCTGCCTGATTGAAGAGATTAATACCAGCGTGGACGGGTCTTTGAGGTTGACTGTCTTTCTGAGGCAGTGAGAAGTGTAGATGGAGTCAATGGATGAAAGGTTGGCTTGCATGATGGCCTGAGCTGTGTTCATAATTCTCTGTAGTTTCTTACAGTCCCGGACAGAGCAGTTGCAGTACCAAGCCGTGATGCATCCAGATAGAATGCTTTCTGTGGTGCATCAATAAAAGTCGGTGAGAACCCTTATGAACATGTGGAATTTCCTTAGCCTGCTGAGGAAGAAGAGACATTGTTGTGCCTTCTTGACCGTTGTATCAATTTGGGTGGTCCAGGACAGATTGTTGGTGATCGTCACTCCTAGGAACTTGATGCTCTCGACCACCTCTACCTCAGCACCATTGATGTAGGTACGGGTGTGCCCTCCTATTTGCTTCCTGAAGCCGATGATCAGCTCTTGAGTTTTGCTGACGTTGAAGGAGAGATTATTATCTTTATACCACACTACCTAGCAGTCTGTGTCTATCCTGTATACTGTCTCGTTATTCTTTGATACCTGCTCTACAACAATAGTGTTGTCAGTGAACCTGCAGATGGGGTTCAGACAAAATTTGACCACACAGTCATAAGTGTACAGGAAGTACAGTAAGGGGCTGGTTATGCAGCCTTGCAGGGCGCCAATGTTGAGGATTGTCATGGAGGAAGTGATGTTGCCTATCCTCACTAATTGTAGTCTTTCGGTCAGAAAGTCGAGGATCCACTTGCAGGGTGCGGAACAGAGACCTAAGTCCCTCACTTTGGAGATTAGTTTGGTTGGGATTATAATGTTGAAGGTGGAGCCGTGGTCAATAAATTGAAGCCTGATGTTATAGATTCATAAAGATATACAGCACAGAAACACCCTTCAGTCCAACTCGTCTATGCTGACCAGATATCCTAACTAACTCCCATTTACCAGCATTTGGCCCATATCCCTCTAAATCCTTCCTATTCATATACCCATCCAGATGCCTTTTAAATGTTGTAATTGTACCAGTCTCCACCAGTTCCTCTGGCAGCTTATTCCATACATGCACCACCCTCTGTGCGAAAACGTTGCTCCTTAGGTCCCTTTTATATCTTTCCCCTCTCACCTTAACCTATGCCCTCTAGTTTTGGACTCCCCCACCCTGCAGAAAAGACCTTAACTATTCACCCTATCCCTGTCCCTCATGATTTTATAAATCTCTATAATGTCACCCCTCAGCCTCTGACGCTCCAGGGAAAATAGCCCCAGTCTATTAAGTCTGTCCATATAGCTCAAGGCAATGTCCTTGTAGATGTTTTTTGAACCTTTTCAGGTTTCACAACATCCTTCTTATAGCAGGGAGGCCAGAATTGCATGCAGTATTCCAATAGTGGCCTAACCAATGTCTTATACAGCCACAACATGACCTCCCAATTCCCATACTCAATGCAGTGAGCAATAAAGGCAACTGC